GCCGCTCCGGGCGCTGGGCAGTGTCCACTTGGGTCGCTGGCGGGGACACAGCCGGTCGCTGGGTGCTGTTGCAGAGGCAGGGCGGGCCGACGGCTCCGTGCCTGGCTTGGTTGCTCATTACACCACCGAAGAACATGCAAAAGGCATTGAAGCTGCGACGCAAGGCGGCCCTCCCACCTCATCCAAGCTCTGCGACTTTGAGGCCAGATCCCAAAGAGGCCTCTCCTCGCCCCACACTGATGACCCCTTCTCATCCTGTGGCCCAAGCCCTTTCTGTCCACCATGTCAGTGTTTTAGTCCCAACCACAGGCTCTTAAAGGCCCTAGCTCAGGGATGGCGAACCTTTTGAGCTCGGCGTGTCAGCATTTTGAAAAACCCTAACTTAACTCTGGTGCCGTGTCACATATAGAAATTTTTTGATATTTGCAACCATAGTAAAACAAAAATTTATATTTTTGATATTTATTTTATATATTTAAATGCCATTTAACAAAGAAAAATCAACCAAAAAAATGAGTTCGCGTGTCACCTCTGACACGCATGTCATAGGTTCGCCATCACTGCCCTAGCTGGTTTGGCTCAGTGGACAGAGCGTCAGCCTGCCGACTGAAAGGTCCGGGTTCGATAACAGTCAAGGGCACATGCCTGGGTTGTGTGCTCCATCCCCAGTAGGGGGTGTCCAGGAGGCAGCCCATCAATGATTCTCATCATTGACGTTTCTATCTCTCCCTCTCCCTTCCTCTCTGAAATCAATAAAAAAATATTTTTAAAAAAGAGGCTGAAGCTGTGGCTTCCACTCCTATTCCCACCCCCTCACATCCCATTAGTAATAATACAGTTTGTAGAGCTGGGCTTGCCAGGCCGTTCTTACATTTTTTCCTCGCCTTTCGTCACCGCTAGGCTGCAACTCTAGTGCCAGGCTTTTCCAGCCTGGATGGTGGAGGGTGGAGGGCTGCCCTCAGCTCCTCACAGCCCTCCCGATTCATCCTGACCCACCACAATCCCCACATACAAATCCCCCTTTACCCCCTCCAGACTACACACTGTTCCAGGAGAAAGTCCATTTTCTCAAGACTACCCCCCACATCCCCAGCTCTACCCCTTTCCTTCCATAAAACAGTCACGGAGCCACACCCACAGACTCCCAGCCCTCCCCTCTCCTGCCTGCTTGCTCTTTGCCCCACGCTTCCCGTCCACCACTTTCTCATCTCCAAGTCTACCTTAGACCTCACTGTCTCCTTCCCACCCCTGCCCCCAGCCCAAACAGGATGGGAGGCTTGGGGCTGCCCCAGCCCTCTGCATGCTCCACCACAGCGATGCCCATATTGCGCCAGCCCAGTTATGTGGGGGCACTTTTCACTCCACTGAGGTGCTGTGCTTGCTTGCTGGTTGACCCCTCTGCCCCACTCCTGCAGCCCCCTCAAGAGCAGACCTTGAAATAGTCCATGAATCCCAAGAGACTACAATATGTGTGGCACATAGACGCCGCCCAGGGAACATGTTAAATGGGTCGATGGCCAAACATCCTGCCAGCCAGTGATGATCAACCCATCTGACAGATGAGGAAACTGAGGCTGGATGAGGCTGGAAGGTGGGAATGCAGGGAAAGAGCCCAGGTCAGTCTATGACCGAGAGCCTCTGGGCTACTCAGAGTGTGGTCCCTGGACAGCACGGTCTGCCTCCCCTGAGGCTGTTGCAGAAGTTCAGCCCCACCAGAGCTGCTGAACCAGAAGAGCATGTTTACAAGGTCCCAGGCTGCCTGGCCCCAAAGATAATGGGAGTTGCCTGAGGCTGCAGGGCCCTGCAGGCTGGGGTGCTGGGAGGAGGGGCTGTGGGCCCAGGTGCAGACCCCAGGGCCCTCTGGGAAGCCCCACCCGGCCCACCTTCCGCCTCTGCTCCTCCTCCTCTTGCATCTTCAGCTGCATCTTGCGGACCATCACCTGGCGCTTCCACTCGGGGATGGGCCGGCCCTGCTCATCGTGCGTGGGGATGAGCGCTTCCACGTCGAGCTGCACCCCTGGCGCGGGGGTGGCGGGC